AGGATAATATTCGGCATGGAGCATGCGCAAAACCTGTAAGTAATGTTTGGCTGGAATGAACACTTTCGCCTCATCCAGTATGTAGTCTTTGGTGATGTAAAACTGCTCTTTTCGGTATCTGAAAACATTTCTCGATGCATGAAAGTCGTCTTCACTGGAAAAAACTGTTCCAAATGAATTCCCTACATGATGGAGAAGTGGATCTGCTGCAGTGGTCGCCTTGATTTTTCGGCCAGATGAAATTTCTAAAGTCGACCGCGTCGTCTATCCATGAACTCGCTACTTCCACAGTTTCTCGAATTTAGTTGCCTGCTCTCAGCCGTTGTAAGGCGTCCGGAGTTCATCACTTTCGAATTCATAAGTACTGGATTCGAAAATGTAAGGGGTAAATGAAAGATGAGTCTGTTCATAGACTTTTCATTTGAATATCATGCCTAAATTGTGATTCATTCTGCCTTTGATTTGCTTTGGTCCGAATGAGCGTTCTTTGTACCATACCTCATGAACATTATGAAAAGGTATACTCTTCAAGTGCTCCAGCAATAAATGTTCATTAATTTTGCTAAGTGAGTTCAAAGTTATTTGCCTACATTCCCCTTAAAAATAATCTGACCCGTATTGCCTCAGAGTAAGACAACGTATTGTCCAGCACATTTTAATTGATCGTTACATGCTCCTATCAGATAATTTTAACACTTCCATTATTTCTGCCACAACAGGCACACGATTAAACTGCTTGCTATTTCACAACTATTAACTTACAACTATTGTAGTGGTAGTATTATATACCAATTGTACAATTAGACCTTTCCAAGAAATGCGTCAAATTGAAATGAGTTAAAATGGATGAGTAATGCGTGCGTCAATATTTCGGGATACTGAGCAACCGTATATATCACTGGCGAATGTTATACTTTAAATCATTAAAATAGTGCGATCAGCCAATGAACTTTATTTACGTAAACTTAAATTATTGGCATTGGAATGCTGAGTGTTTTTATCCTTTATTATCAAGCCGCAGCTCTTGATTTGGTGTAAGTGGGGCCTCACCATATCCTTTTTAGTTAACTATGACGTTAATAAGCAAGACTGAGTAGAGGTATAAGACATTAGTAGGTATAAAAATCGAAAAAATAAAGCTTCAG